TGGGCCCCCTTGGGAGTTCCCTACTACAGATGAACAGGTGAAAGAAGAGGAGATTATATGAAAATATAGATATTTGAATTCTGATATTGCTCGGGGGTGCCATACATACGTGACGTGACGTGACGCGACGCGACGTGACCGTGGGCCATTGGGGAGATCGAGGTGATGGTGCCTTTGTGGAGGCGCCCAAGCGGAACAAAAGTGCCCCTTGGTGGAAGAGCGAGTCTTGAATCGAACGAGGACGCTGATGCTGTGTTGCTGCTTCTGTGGGTTTGGCCTTTGGATTTTTTAAAGGAACCAAACGACCAGTGAACCAAACGATCAGTGGTGTGCGATGGGTTGTGTTTCAATGTTTTGCTGGAGCAGACATTATCACACACAAACCAGAGGGAAGCTTGTTTGGGCATGCTTTTGGCATGTGTTCGTGTACACGTCGAGCACGGACTTCCGGACTTCCTACGGCCCAGGTGAGCCTCCCAGAGTCCAAGCCCAACAGGCCCGGCTTGGGCAGACGGTGCGGGGCTGAACACCTGCCGTTCGCGGCCTGCGAACGAGTCCGCTTGGTCTTGCGATTGCCGTCCGCTCCAGAGATGACACTGACGACACCCCGTTCCAAGTCCAAGTCCCAGGACCGAGAAGGATGAGGCTCAAGGCAGGACTGGCAGCATTGCTGCAGGTGACTGAGTGGGGTCCATGTAGCCCCCAACGAAACTCTAGATAGTTTGGGCAGAGGCTTTGTGTCAACTCAAGTTCTGAACCTTTCCTTGTTTGACCTTTGCCGGCTCCCCCGTGAGTTGTTTTTGGCAGGCTTAAGATTCTGGAAGCACCGAACACATCCCTAAGATGTTGTGGGCTCATGTTACACCTGGGCAGCCTGGCCGGTGGCGGTGGCTTTTGCTTGGAGCAACAAGATTGAAAAGCCTCCAAACATCAGACTCTTCAAAAGGAGATGTGCATCATGTATACAGTTATTCTGTTGTGTCCACCAGTTACATGAGTGACGTGGCAGCGATGGGGGTTGTCGATATCCGAACATCAAAGAGGTGGTGAGCTCCATAGGACTGCCGCCCCAGACAGACCCCCCTGGCACCAACCCCATGTAAGCATATATGGCAGTCCCATGGAGTGTCTGGGGTGATGGTGAGCTCCACTTCCATGACGACTTCGTGTAGCCTGGATTGGTGTCGCACCACCTGCAAGGCTCTCGCCCAGGCGACCCGCGGGGCGAGCCGCGGCTAGGGGGGGAGTTGAAGAGAGGCCCTGCTGGGCGGAAAGAGCGTTGGAAGAACAGCACCGGAGTGCCAGATGTGGCCAGATGGAGGGCCTGCATTGTCTCCAAGAAATCTCTGTAAAAACTAGGCTAATTTGCTTCTGTTAGTAGCTGAAGGGGCAGGCTGATCCATTGTTCGATTGACTTTGTCCAAGATTCCGATCTGCACTACACCCACAGATTGTTTTTTTTTGTCCATTTGGTGGCTCAGATTCTTTACCACCCAGCAGACTACGCAGTGGACTTGGTGAGCTTCACGGGTGAACTGTTGCATTAGGCATGTAGCCCTCCCATAGGTGATTTGCCCTTGTTTTGAGGCTTGGGGGGGTTACAGTACTAGTCCGAGAATGCCTTACGTGCGTAGGACAGTACGTCGACTCAATCTTGGAGTCTGGATCGAATAGGTAAAGTTAGAGGGAGAGGAGACTGAGACTCCCAGCTAAGCCGCTTCTTCGTCCCAAAGAAACCTACTCAACGGAATTGGTGGTCCACTTCCAGCTCGGAGTGTAGACCTACCAATCCGACACCGCCACAGGTGCCCGCCAGACTGGAACCGGACCTGGAACTCGCCGGGCCGAAGGTAGGACCTCTCCCAAAGGCGGCGCAGGCGTCGACCGGCGTCGACCGGCGACAAGGGCGGTTGTGCGGGTGGTTTGCCAAAAAAACACAAGAAAGAGATCAGACTGGTAGATCGTAATTATTTGGCTACATAGAGACTCATGGTACTTTGAACATCCATGAGAGTTCTGGAGTTTTGGTTTGTTGGTGTTGCTTAGACGTGGTGCTAAAAAGGGGCATCATCAGTGAAGTAGATTGAACACGGAGAAACCTTGAACACGGAGAAACCTTGAATGCAGAAGTTTGGGACAGATTATATTCTGTGATCAGGACAACCATCAGTATTTTGCACATACAGCTTTTTAGACCTTTTTAGTAAGTTGCGGGTAGAGGCTTTCGTTCCATGGGCCATCAATGTGGTACACTTTCTGCGGGCAAGATTTGAACGACCATGCGTGTACAACTGTGTTTACAAATGTACAGTGGTTTCAGAGTAGATTGCGCAACCCCCCAAGTTCGGCGAATATATGGCTCCATGTGAAGGACCTAAGGACATCTTGGGTTTGAAACCACTGTGATCAATGTTACAGCCTCGCCTTCAACATCACATGAGGTACGCCATTCAGACCATTCGAGCCACGTGCAAATGGTGTTGTGGTGACATTACATCCAGAGGACCGGAGCCAAATGGAGCCCCCCCATACAACTGGCTTGCAGAGGAACATAGGAGCAGAACAGGGCATTCCACTACTGTGGTCCATGTTTAAAAAGTAGCTTAGTAGCTATATAGACTCAGGAGGGTACCAAAGACCAATAAACAAGACCCAGAAGGTACAAGCCACGGGTTGACTTTGGTAGCCTTGTGGATGGCAACAGAAGTACGAGAGTCTGAAGCCTCACCCACATGCATGGAGCTGGGTCTAGAACCAGGGACAGGCAACCACTCTCCATCTCCAAAAGCCAAGCCCGGGCAAATCAACGCCCCAAAAAAGGTGCCCTTCAAATCCTTTGGAGTATTTGCTGAAGGGTATGCTAACAGCCTCTGCTGTTTGCGCTTTCAATGTCTTCCGAACTGGCTCCGCCACCGCCCATGCACCATGGCCCGCTCCCGCCAGGTCCAGACGGAGGCGGGTGACGGTCCTGCCGGGGGGAGTGGCGAGAAGGAAATGGTGAGGAAAAGGGTCCCATCGCAATCAAACTAATTTTATACTCATAATTACTCTAATTACTTCGAAGTACTAGAAATCATGGCTTCACCATGATCCAACAAATTACTCTACTTCGAGTGGTCCCCACCCTGTTTTTGTTGGTGATTTGGCATATTCCACAACCATAATTCCTGTCAGAACAATCCCAAAGACGCTGGAGGAAGGATGCATGGAATTGCCATGTGTGAGTTTCAGGGTTTGCCCCTAGAATCAGTGACAACGGGTTGCCCCTGATGGCCAATTCACCAAAGGGTCGACATGTCGCCAGCTGAGGGATCCGACATGCGTCCCGACTGAACATTTGCAGTGCATATAGGAATATGTGACATGACTGTGTGTGTGTTGGTGGAACTGGCATGATTCAAAAACCATTGAACACCCGCATCATATGACACCTATGATCATGAGAAGCATCATCAAGCAAAAGAGACCTGCTGCAGTGGCACGGTTGTGGCCGTGGGGAAGTGAATACACCCTGCCAGCAGCCTGGGTTTGCAGGCAAAGACCAAGGCCGACTCGGCGGCGCGGCGTCACGTGTTTGGCGGGTTGCTTCGTCGAAAGTAGCCAACGATACGTAAGGAAGAGTGTTGTTGGACACATGTAGACAAGCGACCAAGCTTGGATCACCCAGTGAGAAAGCTTCGTACTGTGGGGGACCAGTCGACCCAAGAGTCGAATCCCCTGAAGTGATGCAGAGCAAAGTGATTGCGACGAGAAGAACAGCCACAAGCCCAGTGGTTCAGGCACAATGGAGGTCGAACCTGTTAGATGTGGTATATTAATACATTTTAATACTATGGGTGATTCCCCGGACGATTGGCTGCCCAGGGGGGTCCTCGAATGAAGGGCCGACCCAGTGGAGCCTTTCCAGGTGCGCTGCGTGCGCTCGTGTCGGTGATTTGGGAAGTCTGTGAGGTCCAAGATTGACAGGATGATGTCATGTCAACCAGTCAGGACAATTGACGTCCTCTCCGAGTCGGTCTCCCACAGGAGTTCCATGGTTCCTTTCTAATTCTCCACACTGGAGCTAAGGATGATTGACCGCAATCCTCTCCGTGTCGATTCCACGTGCGGCTGCGTTTTGTCTTTCTTTTCTTTGGGGGGGGCAGCTCATGTTCAAATTCGACACAGGGATCAAGGATCAAGTGCAGGACATGATGCACTTCCCCTTGTTTGGAAGAAAACGAGAAGAAAACGGCCCACATCCGACGTCCATAGCCGAGTCGCGAAGCTCAGGTTTAACCCAGCACCTGGATCCACAAGTTGATGAGGAAGAGCCACCTGCAGGCACACCCACCGGTTGCAGATTTCCAGCCACCGGTGTGGAGCTTTCTGGTCGATTTGTGCTTGGTTTGCGTAAGGAGTCTTACAAATCACGGAAGGATGACTCATGAACCGGGGGGCAGCATGCTGCATGCTTTTCCCCTTCGCTCTATCCTGGTTTCTTTGCAGTGCTTGTGTTAGGACTAAGGCTCGGCCTGGTGAGTCACTTAGGACGTGACTAAGGCTTGATGTATTTCATGGTGATATGCGTCGATTTGTTCACATCAGCTTCACTCAGATCCGCCCACACATGGCTCAGCCACAATGTGTTTTGTGCTGAAGCGAAGCATGCCATGATTCCCACAATCAAGACACACGTGGCGACCTGCAGCGGAGCAAGGCTTCGCTACTAGCAGCAAGGGGCACCTCTACTAGTAACAAGGGCGCTACTAGTATATTAGTATATATTACTATAATGTTGTATTGTATTATGTTTTACTGTATTATATTATATATATATACACATTTATTTATACCAAAAAACATTTTTTCAACAACTATGGCTTTGATCCATTGGCCGTCTTCAAGCAACAACCATGCGGACAGCAAAAGTCGTTGGTAAACAAGGGTTTGCAAACCTCGTTCTTGCTGTTTTTCTGTATGTCTATTCGTAGCCATGGCGCGCTGCTGACCATGGACTGATGCCAGTGGCTTCCTCGCAGGCGATTTGGCAGCTCTTGTGCCCTGGAAGTATCGGAGGTTTGGCTTGGTAAGGAGGGGGTCTAAGTTTCTCGTCCCAGAAACGCCTTGTACCGCCTTTGAAACAACTCTTTTCCACGAGTGCGGACGCCATGTGGGCGGTGTGCCCAGGTCATCAACCGCCTTTAAACGACTCATGACCTCGGACCTCAATGTGGTCTGAAGGTTTGCTAGTCCGGTCCTCGGACGAAGTCACATGAGTCGCCGATCTGAACGTTCACATGCCAAGGCCATTCAGTTCATGTACCCTACACCTCCAAGAGCCTCCTCAGAAGGTATTTGGACCCTCCAAACCCACCCCAAACACCTTCAGACCTAGGGGTACTGTATACGTCGACTTTGACCATTCACGACACCATGACCATGCCTTTCTTTTTGCACTCGTGGTTTTGAAGAGCTGTAAAGCATGTAAAGAGCTCCCATGGATTAGCAGCAAAAGCACAAGACAATACCAAAAGGTTGTTCCTGTTGGCCCACCATGGAGTTTGCACGTGGCTGACGCAGGAGCCTTTGCGGTGTGAGTGGATAGCATGCAGTGTTTCAGCGTGGATGGCCATTTCAGCCGAGGTCGGAGAATGATGAAGCTGCTCGCCACCTAGGAGAGTGAATCTAGCGGGACTCACCATGCTGAGGTGGCTCACCAAAGGGTTCATCAAGACAGACATGGCCAGTGAACATGGACCCTACGTTATAAAATGTAGACTGTTGATTTATAAAACTCACCCACGTAATATGTTTTCAGTATGAGTAGACATTATGTGTTAAATACATTGACCAATTCCAGGAAGCTGAGCCCACACCGAGCCCACAGTCCTTTTGTTGGTCCACCGTTGTTCAGCTCTGCATGACCATAACCAAATGCATTTCTTCCCTGCAAATCCTATGGCAGGCACAGTGGCAACCACATGAAGCCACATCTGGTTGCTCAATTTTCTAACTTTTGTGGCCCACCTGCCCAGCCTTGTGCTTGCGTCGCCGCAGGAGTGGGCCTCGCCCAGCACAATGGCATCCGCACGCGGGCACTGAGCGCGACCAAAGACTTTCAGCAGGACGAAGTCATCTTGGCCAGCGACTCCACTCGCGTGATCCGTGCGGCAGACCTGCAGGGAAGGCAAGGAGCAGCTGCTGGAGCAGGGGCGTCCTAGGGTGGAACTGGATTTGGAGTTTTTTTTTTGGTGCCCTATCAGAACCTGAAGAAAGGATTCCAGCAAACATGTTCAAACACTGAGACCGGGCTGTTTGGCTGAATCATCCACATGTGAATGGCCAAGGAACCCACCCACCCACGCCAGGCGCTTCGAGGGCTGTCCAGACGACGCCTGCCGCCTTGCGCTTCATGTGGCGGAACGTGCCAAGACGGGTCGCGATTCCTTTTGGACGCGCCTGGGACCGGTCCGGGCGGAAGAACCGGTCGGAGGCTTCAGAGCAGCGTTGGCCCAGCTGGGTGGATCGTTTGCCCCACGGTGTGAGCCAGAGCTGCCCAGATCTAGTGACTAGGATGCTAGGACGGGACAAATAATTAGATTTTAGATGCAGTGCACTAAAAAGGTTGGCCCAACGGACAATGATGGATGTCACGCGTTGGAATGTGATGTCCAACCCTTTGCCATCAGAATGAGGCGTTGCTCTTTTGATTATTTCAAGGGCTTCACATTCTTGATGTTAGGGTAGCCCGGGGTAGCTTTGTTTTGTCGTGTGAGTCTTCCCCTCAGTTGGTCTCCACAATGTTAACCCCGGTCCTCAGAGTGTACTCTCCACATTCAAGTCTTTTCCATGAGCAACGAAGTTGATTACCTGATTACCATTGATTACCTGGTCCTGGTATGCTGGTTGTGGATCGTGGAGCTGTTGTAGGCTGGTTGTGAGGATCCCACACATCTCATCACGGATCCCACGCGGCCTCAGCCAAGGTGATTGATTCAACAGAGACAGGTCGACTTCTTTCTTGAACATGTTGTAGGGGACTCCGACCTGTTCACCGCCGCAGGGAGATCGCGTCACGAGGAAAGCCCTGACCCCCCCAGATTGACCGAATCAGCGTGACCGAGGAAAGCCCTGGCAGCATACCCATCCTTCAGCGAGTTCGAGGCATTGGGAATGCCCTTGGCAGCCTCTGAAAGGGCTTTGGCAGTCTTGAACCAGGCGAGGCCAGAGGTGAAAGCAGCACATGGAGCCGTCCCTTTATTTTTGGCTTCGCAGGATGGAATTGCAATCAGTATCAGTTGTTGGCCAAGGGTTCATTTTCGAGCATATGGTCCGAAAGATCGAGGGAAGACAGTCGATCTACTCAATAGCCACTTGTAGCACTTGCAAGGCCTTCGGAAGAGCAGTGTCCGGGTGGGCACCCATCAGAGTCCTGTCGTGTTTCCATCGTCGAACAGTCTAACCCTGGATGTTTGGGGACGTTCCCTTTGAGAGCCTCTTCCACGGCCGAGGGGGTGATGCGATCGAAGCGCATGAGTCACCGGACCGTGTGAAATTGGCAGGGGTCAGGGGCGAAGTGGAAAACCCCCATGGTTTGTAGAGGGAAAGGCTCTTCCAAGGGGCCATGTTCCACTTCCATGTGAGTTCCAGCAAGTGTTAAGTACTTCGCTCTCTTCCTTCGGTCCATCGACTACCTTCACCATGTCAAGGTGCCCGACTTCCAAGCTTTGGCCACTTCTGTGCGTCAGACTCGGGGTGCCATGCTCTCCGCCCTTGAGAGCTACAACCGTGGCTTGATTGAAAGGCAGCCAATGACACGAGAGATTGGAGCCAAGACTGGGCCGCCGAAACCCTCCGAAACCGCAAGGAGTTGCCAAAAGCCATGGGTCCTGGAAGTTGGCCAGATGTGGTGTTATATAAGGTCCGTCTTGGGGGCTCTGCCATCCGATGCCAGCCATAGAAGTCAGCACGTTGAGATGGTCATGGGGTCTCACTGACCTCGGGCCTCAGGTCATTCCACGACACAGTTGAACTTTGCTGATGCCTTGTGGGGCCGACTGGTGGTGGACAGTGGGCTGGGAGATGTACGGTGCGGACCGCACGTGGCACCGGTGTTGGATTGGGTGAACCACAGCACGAAGCCAAACGATGCTTGGTGGAGCTGTCGGTACTATTTGATTTGTGGAGACGTTGGTGTCATGCTTTTTGTTGTACTGTCTAGTGTTGCCTTTTTGTGTTGAAGCAAGTTGGCGTTTGCTGAGCGAGTACGTGGATTTAGATGTGTCGACCAACCACCTCACACTTCCTTGCCATGCCCTTGACCTAAAGGTGCAACTAACTTGCACTATGTCCCCAGTGTGGCCAAACCCATCTGCCAGTGTTCAAAAGGTGACTTTCAGTGTGCATTCTGATCTTTCCAAGGTCCGATATGAATGCCATGACGGCAGCCTGGCATCAGCCACACATGGCCTTGCTTCACCTTACTCGTTTCCTCAGAAACATGGGCGAAACGAATAAGACGCTGCGGCATTTGTTTGCTCGGAAGATGATCATTTTGATTGTGTCTTCGGAACATGCCGATGGTTCCCCCTCAGTCCTGAGCATGGAGGGTTCGTGATGAGCACTCAAATCCAGCCTTGGCAGAGGTCCCGAGGCATATCCACAATGATATATGTGACACGCTTTTGAAATTTTGGAACCACTGAGTGGCTGAGTGACCTGGTTCTTGAATTCACAGTAATTCAAGTAGCAGGATAGGCAAGATACTCTTATCAACCTTTGCCCGAAGATCAAAGCCAATGACCCCAATGATTCAGCACAGCCCAGCTACCGTATATTGTTTGCTTAATGATATATATATATATATGTGTGTGCTTTGGTGTTTCTTTTGAAACAAAAATCTACTTGTTTTGATGTGTCTTCTACTTTGGTGCGGTGGGGCTTTGCAAGTGATGACCCGGTCTCGCTCACGAGGTCGGGTGACGCTTCAAGCTTTGCGGCGCATCCGCACGGGTGAGGAGCTGCAGGCTGCTGGAGAGTGGATGGGATTTCATGTGTAGTTTTGGTTGTTATTCCATTGAATTTGATAACTTGTTGCTGTTTTTCTTTTGTTCGTCTTCATTTGAAGTGTTGTGTAGTTTTTCTGTCGGTTTGTTGGGTAGGTTGATGTTTGGCGGGTCCAGGAAAGGGATACCAGGTAGGTAGCTAAGCTAGAAAATAACTAAATGAGGTTGGTCCGTTGGTTTGTTGTGGCCCATGTACTGATGTTGACACTCCGGTGGAGCCCAAAATGGCTTAGTTCTGCTTCTCTATGTCGCTCGGACCGAGGCAAGCTACAACCAGTTGGGACCGATGGCCAACTTCGCTCGGTATGGCATCATCGAAGCTCAGCCGCGCTTGGAGCTGCTGGTGAAGGCGATGCTACTATGGCCCAGTTCTTTTTGTTTTGGTGGTGCTTGGTGAACACGGAGAACGGAGAGGCATAGGATATCATCGCATCATTCATCATTCTATTATATAAATTCCTGGGTGTATGGCGGGTGTATAACTAGGTGAGAGAAAGAGAGAGAGAGAGAGAGACGTCAGAGGCAGTGAAGACGGGCTTGGTTCCATCATACTCCTGCCACTCTCCTTCCCTCATTCCCTCAGGAAGACCCGGGTGAGGCAAAGCCCCTCAGCCCGTCGAGCTGCACGCGCTTGCAGATTGTAAGCTGCTTGGGTTGCGGCAGAAGGTTATCATGTTTTTGACCTTGTAATTGATCACATAGTAATCATTCAAACATATCAATACTATGCCTTCATGCTCCAAAGTAGGTTTAAAAAGACAAAATTGATAGAGTAGATGCCAGGATTGCGGCACAGCAGCGTACCCCATTTGGAACCCATTTTGTGGGTAATTATACAATGTTGATTTAGAATTGTTCTCCTCTCAGATTTGGCCAGTTGTTTAATTGGAAAGTGTGCCGATCTAGCTCACGACTCATGAGTATTTCGGTCCGGGAGAGAAGAAGGCATGTTTGGCCATGAAAACCCCTTGTTCGGGTGGCCTACACCGCTTTCTCATCACCAACGAGGGGCTTTCCTCAATGCCAACGGAACTGCAGGTCGGCTTGGCCGTAGGTGAAGCCGATATATTTGATTCCATTTGTACAATTCATTTCTATAAGAATCTATGAGAAACATGTTATAGATACTTATAGATCGGCTTGAATGGGCCAAATAGATTCAATGGACAAATCGGTAATTTCAGACACCAGGTTGGAATGGGCCAACCTTGGGGATGGTCGCTTCATCGGCTGATGTGCCGATGTGCCAAGGTCTGGACAAAGAGCCAGTGCTTCGAGCAGACACTGAGATGCATCGAGATGTTTTTAGGCCTGATTCAAGGGTTCCTTTGTTCATGTGTTCGGTGCAATCCAACTTGAATCGCTTCCAACTTGAAGACTGCCTTCGTCGCCCGCACAAATCCATTGGCCGGCACCTCCCCCCATCCCTCCCAAGGCCAGCAAGTTCGCACAGATCCATTGTGGTGACATCGGGGCCCGGCAGCCTGCTGCCAGTGCCACTGCCACTGCCTCAACACCGACTGGAGCAGCACCACCCGTGCCGAAACCGGAGCCGGCGATGGAGACCGTGCCGCCCAAAATGGGAAAGCGGCTTGGCATGACATCGCTTATGACGGCAGGGTGCAACAGACTGAGGGGTTTCGGTCAGAGCTGCGTTGCCGTTGCCAGGGCTCTTTGGTGGGTTTTCTCCTGGATTTGTTCCACGTTGGGTTTGATCTAGCGCCTGGGTTCTGGAGCCTGCGCATCCGGAGGTCCGGAGAAGTGAATTTCAGATATCATACTCATAATAATTACACTCTGACTCACTAACATGGAAGTGGATGGCACGGTCCTTTGGAAGACTACTTTCCTTTACAAACAGTGGGTGCCATCCACTTCCATGTTAGTGAGTCGGAGTGTCAATGCCAGGTAGTGCGCGCGAGACATCTCCGACTCTCGCCAGACGACCTACCTGTGGCACGGATCCCGACTCAGGTTGGAGTTGAGCATTCAGCCTTTGACCCAGTTCCTTGGTCGGACCTTCCGGATTGATCCACCAGTCGCGGTGGAGCGGACATGCCTCCCTCCCGGAATCCGGGCCAGGCAAGGCTCCGGTCCGGGAGTGTCCTTAGATTGCTCAGAACCCGTTCCCAACAGAGGTTAAGTGACCTGAACTAGGACCCCACAGGGGTACCGAACTGGGATAGTCTATAGGGTTCTTCAACCTCTTCTGGTCTGTGCAAGTTCCGAGTTCGGGCATGTCAGAACCATGGGGAGTAGCCTCCACTTTTCTGTCTACGGAGATGGGTCGGCAAGATGTTTTGCTTACAAGAACGGCATATATTTGCCATAGTATTGACATCATCCCCGTCGACCTACCCTGGCTAGAATCAGGAGGGCTTGAGCCCCGGCTAAAAATAAAGTTCAGGCCCAATCTGGTAGCATTTTATCAACTGCTTGGGCTGGGGGTATGTGGGGCTGGAGATGTATGTAAACGTTGGGCGCCCCCCCATCTACTGGGTGCGCACCATGGTGATGGAATAATATGTTGGGAGGTTGGGGAGCAATGATTTTAGCCAAACATGCCAACCCATTTTAGCCCCAGGGTATTTGGTAGGTGGGTGTGTATATGTTGTGTTTTGTGTATATGAAATCCACCCCTGCAAATGTTCCACTGTTTTGCTCTCTGATACCTTGGAACCCAACCGCTTTAGAAAAAGAAAGCCACATTCCACCACCACACAACAAAGAAAACG